TACATTTACCCAAATTATTAATGAAGCTAATCTTATATAATAAGCTGTAGGTGTGAATCAAATCCAATAATACATCTAACATCCCTCTCTGGACAAGTATCGATTTTTGAATACAACTATAGATTATGGACTAATAAATCGAGTTATTTAAATAATTTTGCAATATCGTGCACCATGTTTCTCATTTTTAAAACGATAAGTTTTAGGAATTTGTTGGCACGTTTTAGTATTTTAAAACCATGGAATCTCTTCTTGATGAGGTTTTTTTGTTATTTTTCTTTTCAAAAAAAATATATTGAGATATCTAAAACAATTTTATGGTAAACGCAGCCAGTGGTTACGTTGTATAATGACCAGCATTAATTAAGCTGGGAAAAGTATATAAAAATAACTATAGGTTATATAGATAACCATTATAAATAGGAATCGACTCTGGATTGCTTTAAAAAAATATGATTTATAATGAAGTAGTAATATTATTAAGATTCTAGAATTTATATAAAGATGACATCTCATTACTATTCCATATTACTTTCACCTATAAATATAGTTGAGTCCATCATTATTAATTTCTGCTATCTACCATTTATAACCATCACTACAGTCAATCAACATCATTATTAGCCATCATTTACAATTATCACTGTCACACCCCTTTTTTTCTCAATATTTAATTTAAGTATGTTTTGAAAGAAAAAGAGTTTCTCCAATTAAAGTGACATTTTTGAAAAGGGATTATTTTATTCTTCAGAGTCGCCACTTGGAATTGAGTTTTGGTGTTCCAAGTCACCTTATTATTTAAACCCCTAATCAAAAGGAAATTTGACTCTTTATTTTTATTGGTCTGCGAGAACAAAGATCGGGTAAGGAATTCTGTTGACCAAGGGGAAGGTATTAGGCACCCCTCGAGTCCCGTGGTTCTAGCACGGTCGCTTCATTGACTATATATGACTTAAATTAATTTTCAGATATTGTATTATTAACTTAATAATAAAAGTTATTTACCTCATTATTTGGTTTATTTTAAACCTATTAATATATTTTCGTTAATTAAAAAGAATGTATATCACATAAATTTATTCAAACATAATAAAGTAAAGTTAATAGATGGATATTTACAAATCTTGATTTGTCTTGTAATTTCTTTTCTTCTCCTTTTCTTTTTCATGTATTTGTATTTATTTATTTTTTATTGTGGATAGAAAATATATGGGTATCTAATTGCTAGGAATTAGAATTTGTGTGGGATTGAAATTTTTTTGAGTTTGAGTATTTTAGGATTGTATTTTCTTAGTTAGATTAGAAATAGAAATAAAATTTTTATGTGATTTGGAATTAGTTTTAGCAAGAAATTCTAAATAGATTAGGACTATTTTTAGAAAGATTTTTCCTTCTTAATTTTTAATTTTTTTTCCTTACTTTTTATCCCTTTTTTGACGTTTTGGTTTTATTAATTATTTTTTATTTTTTTTTTTGTTTTGTCTCTTTGTATTATTATTATTTTTTACGTTTTTTTTTTTTTTACTTTATCCTTTATTTATTTATTTTTAATATTTTTTATTCTTTTTGGACATTCTGTTTCTCGTCTTCTTCTTCTTTTTTTTTTTTTTTGTTGTTTATTTTATTTTATTGTTTTAATCATCTTACGTTTTCTGTTTCATTTTTTTCTTTATTATTATTCTTTTTATTCTTCTTACTTTTTGGTTTAACTTTTTTTTGTTTCTGTTACGCTCTATTTTTTATTATTATTCTTTTCAGTTTACGTATGTTCTGTTTATATATATATATATATTATTTTATTTTTTATGCTTTCTCATTTTTTAAAAAAAATTAGTTTTCTTAATTATTCATTATTTATTTTTTTTAACCATAAATCTCTAAACAAATATTCATATATCCTCTTAATTATATATCTTAATAATTCGAATTAAAGCGATAATCATCTTAACACTTATTCTAAAGGCAAACTATTTTTTTTATCAAAAATAATATATTAAAAAAAAAAAAAAAGACTAAAACACATTCCTCATAGGTTTTCTAAAGCACTAATTTATATCCTAATCTAACAAGTCTACAAATAATTTCAACAAAAAAAAAATTCTTAAGTGAAAACTAAGGTCCAAGAAACATTAGCTATTCAAAATTAAATATCATGAAACCAATTTCAATATTAATTACATCTAAAGAGCATAAAACAATAATTAAAAAAAAATGTATGATACATCTTTTATTTTTATTTTTATATTATTCTAAAGCAAGAAACTTAAACGGTTACGTTTTTCTAAGCATTCATAAATTCATCACAAACAATGGTAGATAATAATAACATGCGACTCAGAAAACTTCATATTATTGGAATCAAATTTCGTACGAGCATTCCAACTACATTATGCGAGAATTTAGAGTTACCTCGCTGCGAAAATCGATACCACAAAAACAACTGCTACTATCTACTGATTTCCAAAGTTAATAGCTAATATTAACTTTAAAGAGCCACGAATCCGAAACCTTGAGTGAAACCTTGAACGCTGACTTAATTTTCAAAATAAAACTCACTTTTTGTTATCTTTTTCTCTCTATGATTTTTTTTCTCTGTGTATGTGTATCCTTTTTTCTTTACTGAGCGTATGTTTTTATAATAGTTTGGGGTGTGAGTCTGGTGCTAATTAAAAGGAACGTGATGGAGTGGGATTATGATTTAATTTAAAATTTAGTTGAGAATTTTTAGGATTGAGATAAAGGAAGAAAAAAGAATAAAATAAAATAAAGAAAGAACGAACAGAAAAAGAAAGAAAAGAAAAAAAAAACGTGTAAAAATAAAAAAATAAAAAAAATAAAAAGAGAAAAGATCGTGCAAGAGGGGAAGAAAAGAAAGAAAAAAATAAAAATAAAAATAAAATAAAAAAAACTAAATGGGAGGAGGATTTTTAGTAAATAAGTTAAGGAAGTTGGGGGTAATTAGGATAAAGGTAAGGTAATTTGAACTTTTTAGGACTCTTCTTTTTATTCTTTATTATTATTATTATTATTTTTTCTTCTACTTTTCCATGATATATACGACTATTATTATTTTTTAGACTAGATAAAATTTGAAAGATTAAAACAAAATACGTTAAATTCAAAAGCTTTCTTTATTAAACTTTAAACATAAAGTGAGCTTATAATTTGTTGTAATTTTCAATTTATTTTAAATATAACCCTACTGAAATAATAATATTTAAGTATTAAAATTGGGCGTAAAATTTTTATGTTTTGGTCAAAAATTAGGTGTTCACAATCACCATCAATCATATAGAACCACTAGTTAATTAACACAGCTAGCCGACACCACCATTAGCCAAAATTTACAATCATTATCATCATCACAACCAACGATCGCTAACAACAATTATCGTCATCAGCCACCACGATATCTCGTCAACCACCTTTATCATTTACCGTAACCATTGACTATCATTATCGCTCATCACAATTATTAATTGTTACCATCAACTGCCATTGTTAATCATTACTGTTAGCTATAATTACCATCATCACCCACACAATTCAAATCCAAAATCGAGACCTACAACCACACCTATTAGTTATCATCAATCCCAACTGTCATATGATTTGTAAAAATATTCTATTTCTATGGTATTAATTTAGTATTTTTTTTAGATTTTAAATTTACGATTAATTTTTAAATAAAGACAAAATTTATGTATCTCGATCATGTTGAAAACACAAACTTATACTAATTGTTTAGCCAAATCTATCGATATATTCCTTAAATTTATAAGTAAATTTTATTCAGATATTTGAACTATGACATATTCAGATTGAGTATATGAACATGTGATAAAATATTTCTATTAAATATTTTTGATTAAAAATTAAGTATTTGTCAATATATTCAACCTAATCATGTAGTATTCAGATCTTCTATATATTCAGACATGAATTCAGATTCAGACATCTAAAATTTTATATACATCTTTAACATTCAGAATTAGATGTCCTTATTTTAATAAAAATAAATGAGGTGCATTAATCCAACCCAAATTTTACAAGTGAAGTTGATGTGGAGTAAAAAGTAAAGAGGAAGAAAGTTTCAAAATACCAAATTGGAAGAGCAACAAATGCTACGACATTTGGCTTAACCCTATTAGCCACATGAAACGCATACCCCGTTTATTAATAGTTTAATTTTATATATTTGAAAATTTTAAATAAACTTTACAGTATGGGAATATTTAAAAGATAATATTATATTAATACAAGTCATAAGTAAACTAATTACACTTGAAAAAATATGGCATACAACCTACAAGCTATAACACATTAAATTATAACTTATATCATTAGTATATATATATAAGCTAAAATCATATTTAAAGTACATTTATTATTTTAGTAAGTAACATTTACTTTTTAAAAAGTACATTGTAATACCAAATCTCAATTTTTAAAAAATTAAAACTTTTTCCTTCAAGAAAAGAATTAGCTAAATATCTCTTTTTTCTTCCAGAAAAGGAAATATATCAATTATGGTAAGTGTATTTGCCCTTTCTTCAAGTAAAAGTAAAAAAATCAAATACCGTGTTTTTAAAAATTATTTTAAGATTAGACAACACTAAACATGTTGTTTAGGTACTATAATTCATGGTATCGTAATGTCGTTAATGAAGTTGTCCGCGTGATCCTTGAAGGATCTTTAATATTTCATGTTTTTCGTTTTATTTAATGCTTTCCCACCTTAACAAACCACGTTTTTTAAATTAACTTTTCGGTACGCTGTCTCTGTTTCAACCAAATTAGGAAGAAATATATTTCCAAAAACACGTGCTATTTTTTTTTCTTTTTCTTTTTTATCATACTTTATTTCTCCCATATTAATATTATGGTAAAAAAAATAAAATCATATAACCACTTCACACAAAAAGGAAAACTGTCCAAAGAAAAAAACCTATATATATATTTAGCGTGTGTAAAACAGAGTTCGTTGTGACTTACAGACTCTGTTTTCTCTCTCATTCTTTACCTAAAAAAAATCCCTAAAATTGACGAAATTTTGTAAAGATTCTTCATGGATTGGGTTCGTGGTGAAGCTGTTGGTCATGGAAGCTTTGGAAAAGTTAATCTTGCAATACCCAGAAAACAGAGTACTCAATTTCTTCCATTAATGGTAATGAAATCATCTGGGGTTTCTCACTCTGTTTCGCTCGTGAACGAGAAAAAAATCTTGGACGAACTCAATGGGTGTTCAGAAATCATACGATGTTTTGGTGAGAGTTATTCGTTTGAAAATGGTGACAGTTTGTATAATTTGTTGCTGGAGTATGCTACTGGAGGTTCGTTAGCGGAAAAGCTCAAGAAATCGGAGAATTATAAGTTGTCGGAATTTGAAGTTAGTGGATACGCAAAAGGTATACTCAAAGGGCTTCAGTATGTACATGAAGTTGGGTATGCTCATTGTGATATTAAGCTTCAAAATATTCTTCTTGGTGAAGATGGTAAAGTGAAAATTGCTGATTTTGGATTGGCAAAGAGAATTGGAATCAAGAAAGATGATGAATTGCGATGTGAATTGAGAGGTACCCCATTGTATATGTCGCCGGAGATGGTCACCGGCGGCGAACAGGGTACTCCGGCGGATATATGGGCACTTGGGTGTGTGGTAGCTGAAATGGTTGCCGGAGTTCCAGCTTATAGATTCTCCAATGTTACAGAATTGTTAATGGCAATTGGGGTTAAAAATCAGTTGCCTCAAATCCCTGAAGAACTATCAGAAGAAGGAGAGGATTTTCTAAGCAAATGCTTTGTTCAAGATCCAAGAAAGAGATGGACTGCTGAGATGCTTCTAAAACATCCTTTTGTGGCTGATCATGATACTGTTACATTATTAAATGAAGAAATCAAGAATGGTGTTCCATCAATATCTCCTAAATGTCCATTTGATTTCCCAGATTGGGTATCTGATGAATGTGCTCAATCATCGGTAACATGTTCAATTACTTTTCTACCCTCGCCGGAAAATCTGAATTCGAGCTGTGGGTGTTGGTCTACTTCGCCTGCGGAGAGGCTCATGGGGCTAGTGAGTGAATTTAGTACAGAATCTGAATGGTGTTCTGATGATGACTGGGTTACTGTTAGGTGATTTCAACAACCAGAGCCAAAAGCAGATTTTCCAGATTTTTGAGGATGTCTTTTAGGGGTCTCTGGTTTATTATTTTAGTGACTAGGTACTTAGGCTATAGTCAAATTTTTATTGTACATAACATTGGTTACCACATTTAATACAATACAATAGGTTCTGAATTTTAATCAAGACAGCTTATTTACACTCAGCAAAGTGTACATTGTTGGATTATAGTAGAATTTAATAGTAGTGATTAATTTCTTGTTAATGGGAATAGCAGAATGACAATATTTTTGATATATGTAAAGTGTAACGGAAATCTTAATCTAGATTCGGTGCTTCACAAAATTCGTGATCTAATAATGTTTAGAACTCGTGACCAAACAATGTTTAGTTCGTGACATGAATTAAACGGTAATAGTGTGTTACCTCCTTGAACTAGAACCAAACACTTCAGGAGGGCAATCATAAACTATGGGATACACAATGATTTGGTTTATCTTGTTGCAATTTTTGCCCATTAAAGCCCAAACGAGGAGAAAGTGCTTCATTTAACAGGAAAAAAAAATAAAGGAATAAAAACCTTTCGGCAAAAGTGGCAGTTATATATGGTTATAAATATTGGAAAACCATATATACAATGGAAGCATACTAGAATTTTACTGTTTACATGAATAATAGATAACCAACACCGTTTATGCTAGAACACATAATTATGCTAGAACACATAAACCTGCTGAAATTTAATTCGATAAATACCTCTTGAAGCGTGAGCAGATACCTTCAAGCGAATCTCCAAGTTAGACAGATCTTATTCAAGCAAATCCATAAGATAAACAACAACTATGATCTTCTACAGTGATCCCAAGTTCACATCCGAACTCTCTCAATACTTGGATGGACAAGTATCGAATAGAAAACTAATCACTTTCTAGGTTAGGAGAATCCAACTTATAGAGATTTCTTCCCAGTCCAAAAAGGAGAAGAAAACCCGATTTTCCTTTAAAACAAGAAAAACCACACGTTGGTTTTATTGAACCAAAAACTAACGCTTTCTTCTTCCTTTTTCTTAGAAATAGGATTCTGAGTTCTAGTTAAATATGGACACTGTAGAGATCACATAATCTTTCTATTATGGAAATAATTCCAAATAATTGATTTGAATTATTCTTACCATAATAAATTACAAATCATTCCACTAGAAATTCGTAATTGCACTCCTCTAGTTATATTTCATAATTCCCCATTAAACACTTGTGTAATTCCCCATATTAAGATTACAGATACTAATCAATAAATTAAATTACTGACGAATTTAATTCAATGATTAACTTCCTTTAGAGCACTACTTAACTTATTTCATGTGTCGGATTCATAAATCCACTTGCAAGGTTTGACACGATCATGAAAACTTATAAGTTTCTCAAAAAGGCATATCAATCAATCTCTATAACGAAATATGGATTCCATCAACTAACTTATTATTTCACCAATATATATTATTATCATCCAATCTATCAGACATATTGACCCATCTCAGAATCTCACCTTTTAATAAATCAAAACGATAATTAATATATACAGATCATAATAGTTATATCAGAATTGAGAATATAAGTTTATTTAATAGTTTAGAGAATATGTTTTTGTCAGTCAGTCTAAAACAACTCTCTCTATTCGGTCCGTTCAATACATACAAAATGCACTAGCACAAGAAGTTGGAACTATACCGTTCCAATAATCAAGATAAATTACTTATAATCTTGTGCTACAATTGTACCGATGACATGTCCAATTTCCATCCTAGATTGTGAACAAAAAACTTTATACTTATATTGAAAAAAATGACTACTCATGCAACATACATATGCATGTGGTGTCGGATATTCACTTCAACAAATTTAGAACAAAAGCTAACTCAGATGGAGAGTATATGTTAATTTGAGTCAAGTGAATATCATTATCCCTAGATCCATTGATCCAATCAAATATTACTCAGTTTAAGAGAGTCAATACAGATAATCAAAACTAGAGATTAAACTTTAATGACTTGTATTAATTTCATCCATATATGGAGGAAGGTCTAAGCCAACACATGAACTTAATACTTCACTAAAATTTAGTCATGAATGCCATAGAGAACAATCTTTATCACCAGTATATTATAGTCGAGTAATTTTCATTAAAATTAATTTTCAAGATGAAATATCTAAAAACATTATCTAAACGACCTCAAATTGTCAAATCACTTCATAACAATGAGTATTTTTAATTTGATTGTTTCTGATGAACCTACCGAATTTCAGATCAATCAGAGTTCAAAAATAATATTTATCTCCAAAGCTATGATCAAATTCAGATTCAAATGATTTAAGAAAAAATAATCAGATCTACATCTTTATCATATAGCAATTCATGTTAACTCATCACATGTAATCATGTACCACATATAACATAAATAAAATCGATATAAAGGATGTCATTCATACTAAATCACATTTTAATTCCAAAGAACTACTTTAAAATCATTTTAACGATCTCAAAGAATCATAACCACATAACAATGAGTACTTCTTACTAGGCCATTATCAATGAACTTACCAAATTTCAGGTCAATTGGAGCATATAAAGAATCTTTATTTCCAAAGCTATGACCAAATTCAAATTTAAGTAATTTAAGTATCTTTAGGAATTAAAACAATATGACATATCTTCTTATCACATATCAATTCATGTTAAATAACCATGTGTAATCATGTTCCAAATTTAACATAAACATAATTAACATAAAGAATAATATTATCATATTCAAATCAAATTTTAATCCGACAAACTACCTAAATCCATCTAAACGATTTTCGTTGGAACCATCAAATTTCAAGTCAATCAGATATCATAAAATTCATGACCACCTTAGTTATGACCAAATTTTAAAAAATAATCGTTTCAAGCATAGTTTAAGATTCAAATAACTTGATTCACATTTTTATTCTCTTTTTAATAATTATCTCATGAGCACAAAATATACTTGTGTCCTGTCTTTCGGCTAAGACACACTAACCTCTTTACAACATATTGTTCTCTCAATTAATACACTTGAGAATTCAAGACATTATATTTCTCTCTTTAAACCGGTGAAAATCTTTAATATCTCTTCTCATGAATTAAGTATTACTAGTATCTAAAGGTAAATCTCCTTCCGAGTAAACAAACCTTTACTAGTATACATTTATGAAGAACAATTCATACATGTTACATTGAGGATATTCTAACGACTCAAATAAATAGATCATTTTCGTAGATCCTATTTATTTATCATAATTCTCAATTCACATATTATAATCTCAAATATATATAATACTAAGAATTTCTAATAATTCCAAATAAACAAACCACTTAATGGTAACCATTCATGAATTATAATGTTCAGCTCACATAATTATTTGGCAAAACAGAAGAAACCAATATTTCCTAAGTAATTAATAGTGGTTGTCACCACCCTTTAATCACGTGAAACAAGTTTGACTAAATTATTTTTTTCAAACAATCCACTGATAATTAAACCAACCATCAAAACATGCATTTAATTGTAGTATCAATTATTTGGCAAAAAAAATTAAATTAAATTAAACATTCACTTTGCCAAAAGATATTACTACGAAAACAGGTTATGCCCTACGGTACCATTGTAGCCGCCGACACATGCAATAAAACAAACAGTCACCGGCCAATCAACAAATATTGCTCCTTAATTGCTAAAATATTTAGTATGATTCATGAATCACTTTTTAAAAATAAAATGATGCATGTATGACCAATCATAAAAAATATATATAATTAGCACCTTCAAGACAATGTCTTTGCTGCCACTTACATGTGAACCTAAAAAAAAAAAAAACTTTTTGACGTGCTTATAAGCAAAACCTATTTTGTTAACCTTATATTTCATAAATCACAAAATACATATTATTCATAGCCGCCAAACATCCACGTCAACAAAAACCAACTTTTCACATGATTTTTCAACGAAGCATATGTATAATTTAACCTTATACATATCATATGAGTTATCTATTTAGACGAAAGCTTGGGTCTTGATGCCAACGGTTGGAAAATTATATGTGCAGTGAAAGCATATCAGAATTTTATTGCTTACATGAATAATATAACAAATACTTTTTATGCTAGAACACATAAATTTGCTGAAATATAATTTGATAAATACGATACATTCAAGCGAATCTCCAACTTAGACAGATCTTATTCAAGCAAATCCATAAGATAGACAACAACTATGATTTTCTACAGTGATCCCAAGTTCACATCTGAACTCTCTCAATACTTGGGTGGGCAAGTATTGAATAAGAAACTAATCACTTTCTAGGTTAGGAGAATCCAACTTATAGAGATTTCTTTCCAGTCCAAAAAGGAGAAGAAAACCCGATTTTCCTTTAAAACAAGAAAAACCACACGTTGGTTTTATTGAACCAAAAATTAACACTTTCTTCTTTCTTTTCCTTAGAAATAAGATTCTGAGTTCTAGTTAAATATGAGCACTGTAGAGACCACAAAATCTTCCTATTATGGAAATAATTCCAAATAATTAATTTGAATTATTCTTACCATAATAAATTACAAATCATTCCACTAGAAATTCGTAATTGCACTCCTCTATTTATATTTCATAATTCCCCATTAAACACTTATGTAATTCCCCATTTAAGATCACATATACTAATCAATAAACTAAATTACTGTCGAATTTAATTCAATGATTAACTTCCTTTAGAGCACTACTTAACTTATTTCATGTGTCGGATTCATAAATCCACTTGCAAGGTTTGACACGATCATGAAAACTTATAAGTTTCTCAAAAAGGCATATCAATCAATCTCTATAACGAGACATGGATTCCATCAACTAACTTATTATTTCTTCAATATATATTATTATCATCCAATCTACCAGGCATATTGACCCATCTTAGAATCTCACATTTTAATAAATCAAAACGATAATTAATATATACAGATCATAATAGTTATATCAGGATTGAGAATATAAGTATATTTAATAGTTTAGAGAATATGTTTTTGTTAGTCAGTCTAAAACAACTATCTCTACTTGGTCTCGTTCAATACATACAAAATGCACTAGCACAAGAAGTTGGAACTATACCGTTCCAATAATCAAGATAAATTACTTATAATCTTGTGC